GGCCCCAAGCTGTCTGACTTGCGAGGGCCACTGCAGCAACGGCGGATCCTGCTCCATGGACAGCAAGATGATGCCCGAATGCCAGTGAGTCCATCTGGGCCCCGCAGGAGCGCTGCCCACTCCCCACCCCACCACACACACACACACAAAGGGCGCGCCCCTCCCACACCCTTAGTCTTGACAGCGGTGGTCACACTTGCTCACCCCTGACCTTCTGTCTGCAGGTGTCCCCCACACACGGCCGGCCCCCGATGTGAGGAACTGGTAGTCGGCCAAGAACAGTCTGGACGTAGGTGGTGGCGCTGGGGTCGGGGGTCAGTGGACCCGGAAGGGGGTGGTGGTTTGCTGTCTCCCTGTGCCCCTCTGATTGTTTCCCCCGCTCCTCCCGCAGACATGGTCTCCATCCTCATCCCTCTGCTCTTGCTGCTGCTGCTGATCCTGGTGGCTGGTGTGGTGTTCTGGTACAAGCGGCGGGTCCGGGGGTGAGTCGTGGGAATCTGGACCATCCGGCCCATTTCTCTTCACCCCATCCTTGCCCCACCCAAAGTCCTGTCCCTTACACTAACCCTGCCTCTTCCCAGGGCTAAGGGTTTCCAGCACCAGCGGATGACCAATGGGGCCATGAATGTGGAGATTGGGAACCCCACCTACAAGATGTACGAAGGCGGGGAACCTGACGACGTGGGGGGCCTCCTGGATGCCGATTTTGCCCTGGACCCTGACAAGGTGGGTCAGGGGGGCCAAGGAAAAGGTTCCCAAGCAGGGACAAGGGGCTGGGTGGGGTGTCGGGTGGGATGATGGAACCAAGGGAAGGGGTGGCCGACCTGGGCCACGGAGCCCAGCCCCAGAGCCCTCACGAACCCTCTCCCCGCAGCCCACCAACTTCACCAACCCCGTGTACGCCACGCTCTACATGGGTGGCCATGGCAGCCGCCACTCCCTGGCCAGCACGGACGAGAAGAGAGAACTCCTGGGCCGGGGTCCTGAGGACGAGATAGGGGACCCCTTGGCATAGGGTCCCGCCCCTCGGACTTCCCCAGAGAGCCTCCTGCCCCCTGCCAGAGAATTCCTCCAATGAGCCCCCCGCCTGCCAGCCAGCCCTTCCCCGGCCCGGCCGGGGTGTATAAATGTAAAAATGAAGGAATTACTTTTTATATGTGAGTGAGCAAGTGAGCAAGCGAGCACAGTATTATCTCTTTCCGTTCTCCTCCTTCCTGCCTGCTCCTCGGCATCCCCCCATGCTGCCTTCAGGGAGGGGGCTTCAGGAGGGCTCCAGGTCCGAGGGAGCCCTGACTCGCACCTTCCCACCGACACGCACCCCACTGGGAGAGCGGGTGGTGCTGCCCTCTCCCTGTATGAGACACTTTGTCAAGGCTCTCCCCTCGCGCCCCCACACCCAGCTCCCCGAGGGCTGGTTCCAGGAAGGGAGAGGACTCTGCCCGCTCGGAGCCGACTCTGGCTGAGGGCAGGAAGGAAAGGATGGCATTTTTTAGCTCTTCTTGGGGGAGGCCAACCCCAGCCTCCCTCGAGGGGCACCTCTGAGATGGCCACTCTACAGACAGGCCCTCCCCTCTCCAGTGTCCCCACTGAAGCTCCCAGGGCTGGAGACTCTTTGGTCAACAGTCCCCCAAGCCTCCCCTCCCTGGGGATGAGGAGGTGGGGCACGCCAAGGAAGGGCAAGCGGGCAGCCCCGTTTTGGGGACACGAACGTTTTAATAATTTTTGCTGAATTCCTTTACAACTAAATAACACAGATATTGTTATAAATAAAATTGTAAAAAAAAAAGTCACTGTGTCTACTACCGTTTATGTGAAACAGACTCCTGGAACTGAGCTGTGTCTGGCCCGCACCGGCCACCAGGGGGAGCTCTGCACAGGCGGGCAGGCTGGAGCCTCTCGTTGGAGGGGCCTGCCAGCCTCTGCACCCCGCTGTGGTTGGGGAAGGGGTAGGGTGGCCTTAGAAGACATGCTAATCAGGCTGTGTGGCCTTGGGTAGTTTACCTCTCTGGATCTTGTGCTCCCTCTGGCTGTCCCACACTCTTAGACGTGGTTCTCTGCTTTGAAATTTATTTATAGGCACCACTCCGCCTCCACTCGTCAAAAGTGATCTCCAGTACTGGGAAATCCCACCATCAGGAGTGAACCCAGGGAGGTTGTGAGGAGCCTCCTAATCCTCCAAGATGGCCCCATACAGCTCTCAGCCTGAGTTTGTCTTGAGCTGTGAACATTTCACACTTCCTGGAAACTAATTATAAACAGATGCCAAGAGTAGAATTCTGGGTTTAGGAGAATTGGGGGTGGGGTGTCGGGAGGGGATTTGGGAATGTAGGAGAGCTGGGAAGACCAGTTTGCCAGGCCCCATAGGCGGCTAACGGATCCAGTTCACCACTCACTCTGGTTTCGCAAAGGGTTGACAGGAGAGGACAACCATATTCAGAGGGGCCCAGGCCTTCCTGGCAGAAGGGCACACCGCTTCACACTGGCCAAGACAGAAAGGGTTAGTGTCTCACTCTCCCCTCAACAGTAGATACCAGCTCAGGGAGGGCAGGGACAAACCCTGGCCCAGCTCCCAGCCTGCTGAATCTATTCCTCCTTTCTTGGGGAAGCTATGCATTTAGACACCTGTAAAATTAACAGACCTCTCCTTCCCTCTTAAAACAGAATCCTCTCAGCCTCCCAAGTCAGCCCTGAGATCCTCTGGAGCCCCCGCGCTGGGTGGTCCTGGGGAAAGGGGGGCTTCGTTTTTGTTGCGAGGAGCGTTGTGCCGCCATCTGCCCACCAGGTGGCGCGCGCGCTCCTACGGAGCCGCTCATCCAAGAAGCCCGCCACGGCCCCCTCCCCTACACACGCTAATTATGCACCTGCCGGCGCACCCCAGCCCTGCCTTTCCTTTCCCTCGGGCTATTTCGCCACGCGCACCTCCCCTCTAGCCTCCCCCAGACCGCTCCTCTCCCTCCCCCCACACACACATCCCGCGCCTTCCTCCCCGACCCTACCGCCGCCAGCCCCACCCCCTCATTCCCTCTCCCTGCCAGCCGCGCATCTGGCGCCCCCCGGGAGCCACTGATTCTCTGCCTGTCGCCTCGAGATCCTGGGCAGAGGGAAAGGGGCCCCCAGCTGCGGAACGGAGCGCACCCCCACCCCAGTGGGATCCTCTCTCTGGACCAGCCAGAAGCGGGGCTGCAGGGAGGCAGTTCTCACCAACTCCCCACCTGGCGAGGAGAGCAGAGGAGAGAGGCAGAGGCCGACCCCAGCCAGGGGCAGATACAGATGGGGCACAGAGGCAAAGGTCAGGCGAAGGGTGGGTCTGTGGCGCAGCTGCAGGGGAGGGGTGGCTGAGGCCAGCACCCCAGACAGAGAAGATGGGTCAGGCCCCTGGTGACTGGTTTATGTCCTAGGTAGTGGGGTGGGACCCACCGCCTCAACAGTGCCATGCTGAGACCCAGCTCTGCCTCACCTGGTCATTCCCGCTGCTTCCTACAGACTCAGGCCACCTCCTGCCTCTGTCTTATGGGGGGGTGTCTCTGTGACCCCTTGTCTTCTCAGCCAGTACCCCAGGTGCTGTGTGTGTCTGGCACAGCCCTCGGTCTGTATGTGCCTGGGCTTGCCATTCAGACTGCCAGAGCCGGCACACACCTGTGTCTCAGGGAGGGTGTCTGACTCTACCTGCGGCAGTTCGCCCCTCTGCCAAGGCTGGCAAAGGAGCAGGGTGGGCTCTGAGTGCCCGCCCAGCTGGGTGTGCTGTCGCCTGGTACCACCGTGCTTTTGTCTGTCTGACTGTGGTCCTGAGCGTGTGAATGAACTGTGCCCCGCTGTGTGTGCCGGCCTGATTCTGGCGGGGTACCTGTCTCTTGCTCTGCATGATTGTGGTTCTGGGCTGGCTGCAGGCTCCCGTCCTGGGTCATGCTGCCTGGACGCATTTGCATGCGTGTCTCCGAGCGTGCAGCTACCTCTCTGTGTCTCTTTGCCTGTCCCTATCTCTCCCTGTCGGTCCTAACACAACCTCAGCCACAGCCCCAGTGCATAGCAACAGCTGACAGCTAAAGACTCCGGCAGGGGAGAGAAAGACTGGGGGAGGAGGGAAGCGACGAAGAAAGAGCCGAGAGGATAGGGACGGAGAAAGGCTGGGGCTGTGGACAGAGACAAGGACAGAGAGGGAGCTGGAAAGGGGACGGGGACCCGGAGGAGCTGTGATGAAAGATGGGACAGGGAGAGGGAAGGGGTAGAGGCTGCACCGAGAGGCCGCGCCGGCGACACGGCGGGGGGTGACTTCCTGCCCACCCCACGAGGGAGCACTTGGGGCGCGAGGAGGAGGAGGGGCGGGGAGCGGAGGGCCGGGGACAGAGGTGAAGCGGCGGAGGTCCAGAGTCGGCCGAGGTGCCTGGGGGGCGGGGCGGGGCGGCGGGCGCCGTTTGTCAGCCCTATTGACAGACGTGATGGGGTTTCCGTCCGTGATCAATGATTCTCATCTCCAGGCAGAATGAGCCGCGGGGCGCCCATCCATCCCCGTCAGCGCCGCGCGGCGGCGGCCGCCCGAGGCCCCGCCCGCCCTCACCTCGCCCCGGCCCTGCTCCGGGCCCCGCGCGCACTTGGGCCCGGGGCGCGCTGGGCCCCCGACGCTGCGGAGCCGCCCCGCCCCGCCCGCCCCCCGCTCCGCCGCGCCCCCTCTCGGAGGGGCCCCGCGCCCGCCCGCCCGCCCGCTCGCGCAGCCGCGCCCCCACCCCGGCTCCCCGGGCCCCGCGGGCCGCCGAGCTCCGCACCTGGGCCGGGGGCGTGTCTGGGGCGTGGCGGGTGAAAGTCACCTTCGGTGGCCCCAGCTGGGCGGGAGGGGGCGCGCGGGGCGCGGCCGGGATTGGAGCGCCGCGGAGCCCCGCCCCCCGGCCCAACTTTCTCCCCCGCCCGCGCCCCGCCCCCCGCGCCGCGCTCCGCTCCGAGCCCGGCTCAGTCCGCGGGCCGCGCCGCCCGCTCCGCCGCGCGCCCCGCCGCCGCCCGCGCCCCGCGCCCCGCGCCCCGCGCCCCGCCGGGAAGATGCGCCTGCCCGCGGAATGGCTCCTCTTGCTCTTTGGCCCGTGGCTCCTGAGGCAGGTAAGGCGGCGGGGTGGACGCGGGCGCCGGCGCCCGGGACGCCCAGGTCCTCGGAGCGCCAGCGGCTCCGCGCGCCCGCCCCGTCCCCGGCTCGCCCCGTCCCAAGTTCGCGCGGGCGGCGCGGGGACGCGGACGGACAGACCTACTGCCCGATTCGGGACGGGGCTCTCGTCCCGGACAAGTTGGCTCGGGGTGGGAGGCGGAGGGCCGGGGTGCCCGGCGGGAGGCCCGATCGGAGCTGGCTCGGGGCGCGGCGGGGGAGGGGACGGAGCCCGACCCGCGAGTGCGCCAGACGGAGCGGGAGTGCGAGACAGACAGACCAGCCAGCAGGGTGTCAGCCTCGCCGTCTCGCCGCGCCAACCTCGCTCGCCTTCCTCGCGGTCTGTCCTTCCTCCCGGCACCCACCCCCGCCTTCCCGTTCCTCTCCTCTGCACTTGTCACCGTGCCGGGGGCACCGTGGTCCGAGCTGGCACGGCCCGAACGCACGCGCGCGCGCACGACTCGGGCACGGCCGAACTTGGCTCCAGTCTCCCTCGCGTTTCCCGCGGAGCCGCGACCGCCCCGCACGGCCTCAGACACACCCCTCTCGCGACGGCCGCCGGGGCGGGGGTGCGTCTGGAAGGCGAGTCTTGCGCCCCGCGCGACCCCCGCCTCCCCAGGCCGCCTCCTTCCCTGGGCCGCACGGCCGGGACCCCAGGGGCGAGGAGAGCCATTGATCAGCCTCCCTCCGACTTCAACTCCTGTGCACCGTGTGCTTGTGTGCGAGTGCCTGGGTCAGTGAGTACACCTGTGTGCCTGAGTGTCTTGGGGAAGGCCAAGCCTGTGCGTCTAGTGATGGGGTCCGAGCTGTGTGAGGTGACCGGAAGGGTTGTGACCCTGGCTTTGAACGGGTGAGTGCAGTCATCTGTTCCACCCAGTGGCGGGTCCCCCCACCCCCGCGAAGCAAAGGGGCCCTAAGCTCTGGCCCCCATGTCTTCCCCTGCCCTTGGTTTTCTATTTCCGGCACCCTCGCTGTGACACCCTAGTTTGGACAGCAGGCCCCACCTGGACCCCAGCCCCTGCACGTTTTGAAGGGGTGCAGTTATCCCCCCCAACAATCCGACCCCTGCTTACTCAGCCAGATAGCACTCAGCAGCTCATGGAGGATGGGGGCTGCCCCAGTGAAGCCGGGATGAGCGCCCTGATTCTCCCAAAGTCGTCTGGTGACCTTGATGGCTGGAAGCTGGGTGGAGAAGCAACCCCCTACCCCGGAAAATTCGCTTCCACGGACTGGAGCTGGGTTTGGATTCACTGCCTAACTCTGCCCCTTAGGACTGCAGGGGTGGGGGTATCTGTGCCCCACAGGCCACAGGGTGAAGAGGAGGTAAGGATGGTACTCACCCCCCCTCCCCCGCCTGCCTTTCTGCTTCCTCTCTGCCCTCCCCTCATCCTCTCCGCCAAATAAACTCCCCTGTGGACAGATCTGGTTTAATTTCCTTTGCCCCCTGAAGGGGAATGGAACATCTGGTGGAGACTGGAGGGATGATGAGCAAGAGGATGAGAGCGATGGTGCTGGAGCTGGTGTGCGTGCGTGTGTGTGTGTGTGTGTGTGTGTGTAGGGGGGTATCTCTACCCTTTAGCCCAGCTTGTGTGCATGTGAGAATCTGTGTTTACCATGTGCACAGATGGTGGGGGTGTGGTAGAAAATGGTGTGTGTACCTGTGTGCACTTGTGACTGTTGTATACCCGTGTGTACCCCAAGGTGGGTTCCCAGTGCCTGTGTGTGCTGGGGTGTATGTGTTGGCTGTCAGTGTGGGTCTGTTTGTGAACTGGAAAGCGTTTGTTGGGAGGTGTGTTCATGGGGCTGTGGGGGCCTGGTGTGTGCCCAGGACCGGCGGCCAGGAGGCTGGCACCTGGGAAGAGACTGGGAACGGGGAGCCGGGAGGGGGCAGGGGAGAGAGTGGGGAGGATGGTGGGATCAGGGTCTTACAGGCAACCCCTCTGACCCCGGCTCACAAATATTACCAGCTCTGCCTCTTCTGCCCACCACGCTGGCTCCCTCCCCCAGGCTCTCCGCCTGCCGTCTCCCCTGACCGGCTGTGGCTCCTGGCCCTCACTGCCCTTAGGGCTCTGGCCTGTCCGAGTCCCCTCCCAGCACTCTCTCGGACCCCCTCCCTCTCATCTGTCTTCCTCACCCCTTGCCAAAGGGGCTGCCTACTGGGAGAAGCAGCAGGAGATCAATAGTCACTAATCACTAATCACTAATTACTAATTAGCAGGGGGGGAGGGCTGGGGCGGGCCCCTGTGGGGTTTTCTGGCCCTATCCTGCCTGGGGGAAGGATTAGGCCCTGATGCTGGTCTAGCAGAGCTGTGGGCCCCCAAGGGCCACCCCTCCTGCCTCCTGTGCCCCTCTCGCCCCCCCCCCCAGCCCCCCAGCTAATCTCTGACTGGGCCACTTAGGCACGTTCAGTCTGGGCTGGGGCTCAAAGCTGCTGTTGGGGATTTGGGGGTAATCAGGGGCCGCAGATGGGCCAGGGCCACCAGGGCGGTGCTGACGGGTCCCTGGGGCCAGCGCCTTCGAGGATGGGAGGAGGCCCCCGTGGCAAGGCAGAATTCAGAAGGCCATGGGCTGGGGTGGAGGAGGAGCCCTAGATGACAGGGACGGGGTGACAGAAACAAGGACAGACGGGGGAGAGAAAGCAGAAGGGTGCTGGGAAGGGGTGGGAGCAAGCCAGTGAGAACCCCTCACAGTGACCCCGCGGGCTCCAAGCTGAGGCTCTGGCTGGGAGGTGGGCAACTTTGGGCAGAGCCCCGCAACTCCACCTGGACAGGGTCCAGGAGAGGAAGGGGTGCCGCAACGAGCCAGGGTCGTGGGGGGAAGGGGTGCCCGGGCCTCCAGCCTGTCGGGGCGCTGGGGGGGGGAGCGGGGATGGGGAGCGGGGAGCGCTGCCTGGAGCGCAGGAAATTGGCGTGTCTCCCCCCACCCACCCCAGCTCCCTCGCCCGCCCCTCCTCCACCTCCACCCCGCCCACTCCCCCTCCGGCTCCGGCTTCGGGAAATTACATCCCCGCGCCGCGGCTCCCTCCGTCCCCCCACCGCGCCCCGGAGCCCGCGCCTTTATAGGCACATTTATTGCAATAATAAAGTGAGGCGCGGGGCGGGGGGCGGGGGGCGGCCGTTCCCGGGGGGACCGCGCCGGCTCGAGGAAGCAGGGAAATAAAATAAAATAAAATAAAATCAAAATTCAGATAACGGTGAGCCTTGCGCTGCAGGCCGCGGGCGGGCGGGCGGGCGGGGCTGCGGGGTGGGGGGGTAAGGGGGCGCCGGGCCCAAGGGCAGAGCCCGCCCCGCCGGCGGTCCCCGCCCCCTCACGCTATTCTGGGGGCTGCAAGGAGGTCTCCTCGCTCCCACCTGCCCGGCCCCCTCTGCGGCCTGAGCCTTCGGCACCGTACCTGTCATCAGGGCCTGCCTCCGTCCCGGCCCCCCCACTGCCCCGTCCAGTCCCCATTCTCCCTCGCCCCCAGCCCAGTGTCTCTGCTCCCCTTGGGCGGCCCACTGAGCGTCCTGGCCCCCCACTTCCGCCCCACCTACATTTGCCCCCCAATCCTCATCGCCCTTCATTTGCCAAGCCTACCCTGCCGCACCCCCATCCCACTCCCACCCCTGCAGCCCCCCATCTTCATTCCCTCATCCGGCTGCCCCCCAGGTCTGACCTCTCTAGCCTGCCCCCTTGCCCATCTTTATTCCTGCGCCCCGTATCTGCGTCTGCAACTCCCCAGTCCCAGTCCCCACTTCACCTTCAGCCTCCCTCCTTCCTAGTCTCCAGCCAGCCCAGATCCCCCCACCTCACCCGGTCCTGCAGGGGAGCAGGATGCTCTTCCCCCCTTCCCCAGCCCCAGCCTGGAGTAACAGTTTCTCCCCAGCCCAACCTCGGGGCGCCACTGCCTCCCGCTCTGGGTCTTGAATGGCCCCGCCTGACCCAGCAGCCTGAGAGGAGCCACTGGCCTGTCCGGAGGCCCCGGGACGTGTGCCCTGCAATGCGGCTTGGGGGGCTGACAGCCTGATCCTCTCCCTATTCCCAGCGGCCCGGTCCTAGAGTTCCCCCCACATCCCGTGCACTTGGCGCAGCACCAAGAGGGGGGCCTCAACTCCCACCCCGAGTGGGCTTCCTGTCTTAGGGGCCAGCGCTCCGGGGAAGCACCCCCTCCCCCTCCCCACAGAGCACCTCTGCCCCTCCAGATGACAGCCCCGCTCGCCTCTCCCCTCTGCAAATGTCACAGCGCCCAATTAGCTTAATTAAACCAGCTCTGGAGCAAGGGGAGTCCGTCTCGGACAACACCCTGCTCCCGCTGCCAATTGTAGGCGGTGGGGACAGCACCCTAAATGTGGGCTCCTCCGGCCACCAGCTTCCCCCCACGCCCGCCTGCCTCCCCCACAGACCTACTCCTGGGAGGGTAGAGGGAGAGACAAAAACTGGGAGCAAACCGGAATCGCGGGAGGAGAAAATTAGAGACGAGTGAGAGACTGAGAGACAGAGACGCGAGGCGAGAGAAAGATGGAACGCCCGCGAGGGGGAGAGGGGCGCGGGCGAGCGCGCTGGAGCAAGGAAGCCAGAGGGAGGATTTGATTTTATTTTATTCCATGTTCCCATTTCTCGGCTCGTTTCCTCGCAGGCTCTCGCCCCTCCCTGGCCGAGCTCCCGCCAAGGTCGCTTTGGCCGCCCCCCCAACTCTTCCCTTTTATCTTGGCTGTCTCCGGCCACGGGTGTCGGAGATTTGCCAGGACTGGAAAAGAAAAAGCTCAGACAGCCCTGAGTCTGGGATTGGGGGGACACACCCCCAAAACCCCTCACTGCCCCCACTGAACTGGCTTCCTATTTGCAGAGACTCCGTGGGCTAGAGCAGCTTAAGTTCCCCGGGTGCTGCTGGAGGCATTTGGAGTGGCAGAGGGCTGCTGGCTCTGTGGCAAGAGCAGACAGAGGTTGGGCCCCAGAGGGCTGAGAGACCAGGAGCCTGCGTTCACTGGGTCCCCCGCATCTTGCCTCGGAGGCCTCATGTCATATCATCCTCCCCCCAGTGTCCTCCCCGGGGCTCAAGTCCACCTCCTGGGCCTCGGCCCCTTTTTTCCGGGGGTGCTTTTCTTCCCTCCCGCTCTGGCCTTGCACCCCCTTTCCCTCCATGCGACCCCCCCCAGCTTCTCAGGCCCAGGGCCTGGGTGCTGACTCCCAGCTCTCGCTTGTCTGTGGAGTCAATCACTCTTCCCGCCCCCGCCCCCCTCACCTGAGCTGGGAGGAGGAATGAGGGGGGCGATAAATATGTATGACGAGCTGGTGGCGGTGGCATTAATAACCCGGGATCGCAGCGCTGCAGGGATGGGGACCAGCCGGCAGAGATTCCAGCCCCACCGCTCCACTCCACTCGGCCTTTCCCGGCCTCCCGGGACACAGGCTACACCGAGGTGCGTGCCACCGCGGAGACCTGCTTCCCCAGGGCTCCTCCTGCTGCCAGTGTGACCACCTTTTCTCTACAAGTCAGGCCACACAGCTGCACCCCAGGGGGAATACGGTGGGCTCCCTTGTTCCATGTGCAGACATGACATGCACCCTCTCAACAGAGCCCGACTCAGGCCGAAGGAGCTCTCACAGGGATAAAAGGACACCCCCAGAGACTCCCACACAGCCTCCTTCAGACATGTGGCCAGACACGCCAGCTACACCCACCACAGACACAACCACACGCGGACGGACAGTCAGTATGCCAGCACCCCAGACCCACCGCCAACCCAGGCGTGGATCCACGGGCACCAAACTGCCACCACGACAAATCCGGTCACACACAGCCACCACCACAGCCGTGCACAGACACCACACACTGCCCCAGGCGCACACACACACACCCACCGGCATACACACGTCAGCACTGGAAACACACAATCACCGCCATCGACAGGCACACACACACCCCACCCTAGGCAGCCGGGAAAAGCCGCCCCAGGCCCATCCTCACAAGCCTGTCCCCCCCCAGGCCGAGCCCCCACACTGAAAGGGCCACGACAGCCAGCTGCCAGCACTGTCTGACTGACACTCTGACACGCAGCCTCCTCTCCTCCGCTTCCCTCTGAGCAGAGCAGCGGCTCCATATTTCTTCCTCCCTCAGCCTCTCACCGGATCCTTCACTCCAGACCACCCCCGCCCCCGCCTCGATAATTGATGGCCGGGGCCTGGCCCCATCGCTCCCGCCTCTCGATCCATCTTGTACTTACGCCCCGCCCCGCGCTGTCTCCCTGATCAGCTGCCACCTGAGACAAGGAGAGAAGGTGGGGGGTGCCTTGGGGCGGCTTCCTCGGCCCCCTGGGAGCCCGAAGAAGGACAGCCAGGCCGTCTCCTCTACTGCAGAAACGCCAGAAGCTCAAGGGGTCCCCGACCTGAACCTGTGGCTGTCTCCGCTGCTGTCCTTTCTGGGGCCCTCTCTCTGCGGTGGGGGGTGGGACGGGGACTCTCATCTTGACGGAGCCCTGGGAGGTGCTCGCCTCTTTTGATGCTGAGTATTACCGTGGCCAGAGCCAGGGGTGTCTGGCCCTAAACCCCCAGCCAACCGGGTTCCAGCTCCCCCTCCCTATCCATATCCACTGGGCATTGGCTTTGTCTTTTTTGCTGGGGGGCGGGGAAGCCCTCCTGGAGATGCTTGGGGGTCACCAGGCCTGCATCAAAATGTGCCAGGATCCATGGGGAGTGAAAGCAGGGTGGGGCGCCCCCGGAGACTGCACCCCCCTTTGAGCCACTGCACTGCTCTGGCTCCTTATTGGTTGGGTTATGTGGGAAGGTGCAATTCTGCCCTCATGGAGATAGAATCACAGGCCTAGGAGGTGAAGGGACCCTACCAAGGCCAGAGTACAGAGGCATGACGCCAACCATATGGGGTTCGGTCCCCAGGATCGCATATGATCCCCCAGCACCCCCAGTAGAGATCCTTGAGCACAGAGACAGGAGTAAGCCCTGAGCACTGCTGCTGGGTATGGCCCCCAAACACCCTCCCCTTCAAAAAAAAAAAAAAAACGTGATCCATGACTTGAATGACCTGCGGTCTGCTCCAGCGGCATCTCTTCCCGAACCACTGGCCACAGTCAGCCCCTGCTCTCTTGGGGCTTACCGGGCGAGGCGTTCTACCGCTGAGCCACATTCTTGGCCTTTCCAACACCCGTTGAAAGGGGCTCGGACAGCTGTGGAGGGAAGGGGTGCTCCGGTGGTGCTGGCCTGCCTCATGTGCGCAGTTCCGTGCGGCACGGTGTCTCACATTTGCAATGGTTTTTTACAGCGTGTAAGGGCGCCGCTGGGTCGTGCAGGGACAACCCCAGCGTCGTTCTCCTGCTCTTTCCTCCTCTGCAGGCCGTGAGTGCCCAGATACCCGAGTCTGGGAGGCCTCAGTACCTGGAGCTGCGCCCCGCCGCGGCCGGAGAGGGCGCCCCGGGCCAGCAGCTCCCGGCGCCCAAGTCTCCCGACGGCCTGGGGCCCTCGCGCGCCTGGAGCTGGGCGTGGCCGGTTAACCACACGGGCGCCCTGGCCCGGCCGGGGCTGGCGGGCGCCCTGCCGGCGCAGCGCACCAAGAGGAAGCCGTCCATCAAAGCGGCCCGCGCCAAGAAGATCTTCGGCTGGGGGGACTTCTATTTCCGGGTGCACACCCTCAAGTTCTCGCTGCTGGTGACGGGCAAGATCGTGGACCACGTGAACGGCACCTTCAGCGTGTACTTCCGCCACAACTCCTCCAGTCTGGGCAACCTCAGCGTCAGCATCGTGCCGCCCTCCAAGCGGGTGGAGTTCGGGGGCGTCTGGCTGCCGGGGCCCGCCCCCCACCCGCTGCAGTCCACGCTGGCCTTGGAGGGAGTGCTCCCGCGGCTGGGGCCCCCGCTGGGCATCGCCGCTCCGGGCCCCGGGCTCGGGGGCGCCCTCGGGGGCGCGCTGGCGGGCCCCCTCGGGGGCGCGCTGGGAGTGCCCGGGGCCAAGGAGTCCCGCGCCTTCAACTGCCACGTGGAGTACGAGAAGACGAACCGCGCGCGCAAGCACCGCCCGTGCCTCTACGACCCGTCGCAGGTGTGCTTCACCGAGCACACGCAGAGCCAGGCCGCCTGGCTCTGCGCCAAGCCCTTCAAAGTCATCTGCATCTTCGTCTCCTTCCTCAGCTTTGACTACAAACTGGTGCAGAAGGTGTGCCCGGACTATAACTTCCAGAGCGAGCACCCCTACTTTGGATAGCGCGCCCCCACCCTGTCGCCCCAGGCTCCGAACTCCCGGCCAAATCCTCGCCCCCTGAACGCCCCCAGGTGCTCGTCACCTTCACCCAGACCTAGACCCCTTCCCCACCCCCCATGCCCCGCAGCTCCTGCGGCCACGGCCACCCGTTCCGTTTGGGGGCGGGGCGGGGCAGAGGGGAGCAGCTCTCCTAGGGACCACCGGGGAGGGGGTCCCCTTTCCTTTGTGGGAAGTGAGAGATCACGAGATGAGAGTGGGGGTAGCCCTCTACCAGCGCCCAAAGTGGAGCGGGTAAGAGCACCGAATAGGAGGGGTCTGGACGCAGGGGCGTCCCCTAAGGCCACACTGGGTCGGTTCCCCGGTTGCCCCGGCGTTGGGCCGGACACTCCCTTCGCCCGCAGCTTTAAAGACGCCTGGCACCCTCATCTCCGTCCCGCCACCCCACTTTCTTGCCCCTAGGTGCTTGTCACCTTCACCCGGACCTAGACCCCTGTAAAGGCTGCCCCTGCCCCTCCCCCTCTGCCTGCGTATGCCTGTCCGCCTCCCCCACAACCCCGTTAGGGTAGCAGAAGCACAACTCTCGCCCCACCCTGCCCCGTCCCTCCCGAACCTGCAGTTCTGCTCCTCCCAACCCTCTCCCGCTACTTCCTCCCCGCGGTATTTCTGTTTTTCTACGCCAAAACAGACGTGAAAGGGCACAAAATAAAGTGGAATACTACAGGCTGTCTGCGTGAGATCTTTGGGGGGAACGGGGAAGAGGTGTCTGGGGCAGGGCCTCCTTCTTCGGCGACTCCGGGGGAAACTGAGGCAGAGAAGGACGACCTGGGGAAATCATCGGGACCGGAGAGAGATGAAGGTGGCCTGGTAGGGAGGAGCCCGGGAGGTGTGTGTGGGGGGTGCTGCTCCCGGCGCCGACCCCCGGCCGAGGTCCTGCGGCGCGGCACGGGCTGCGGAGACCGGGACCGCGTGGGCAGAGCGCTGACAACCTGCTAAGCTCCGCGGGGCCCGAGGCAGGTGGGGGAGGGGGACGGTGTTTGCGGCATCTGGAGTCATCGATCTTCCTTTTCCTCCCTAATTTCGTGGGCGCTGAGTTTGCAGACGGTGGTAGGAGGAGGGAGGCCTGAGACGGGGGTGGGGGAAGGGACGCGCGGGAGTTTGGAGAGCCGGGCCGCGACGCCGCGGCTGGCCGCCTGCAAACACGGCCCCCTCCAGCCGGCTGCCCACCCTCCCGCCGCTGCCTCCAGCTCCCTCCTGCAGCCGCCGCTGCTAATTTTATCCGCCCCCAGCCCTGGCCAGGGCGTTAATTGGCTGCGGCTTCATTAGCAGTTCTCAAGCTCAGCCGGCCCCCTCCCCTCGGGACCCCTGACAGGGGTGAGGGAGGAGGCACCGGCAAGCTGGAGCACAGAACCGGCTCTTGCGCCTGCCTTCGCCCGGAGTCAGGGTTCAGGGTTCAGAGAGGACAGTGAGCGGTCTTCTGGGGGTTTCAGTGGGGAAACTGAGTCTGACCCAGACGTGCCTCGTGGTGGAAAGTGAGTCGGTCCGTGGACAATGGCCATTTGATAGCCGGGCAGATGGATGGCAGGACGGACTGTGAGACATAGGCAGGTGAGAAGGGCTCTGGGTCTGAGACTAGACCAAGAACGCAGCAGGCTTCTTACCTCACTGGGGCTCTGAGGTGCCAACACCTGAAAACTCTTGAGGTTGGAGGGAGGATGAGCAGCCCCGCCTGAGAGCCAACTGGCAGTGACTGGACTCTGCAAGTTAGTCTGTCTGGGCCTCAGTTTTCTCACTTGTAAAGCAATAATAAAATAGTGTGTTCTTGTTGCAAAAAAAAAAAAATATTTTAACTGGGCCCAAAGAGATAGTAGACGAGGGTATTTGCCTTGCAAGCAACTGATCTGGGTTCAATTCTTGGCACCTCATATAGTACCCCCTCCCTCCCACACTCACCATTCCAGTCCTGCCAGGATTGATTCTTGACACAGAATCAGGAGTAAGCCCTGAGCACCGCTGGGTGTGGACCCCCCCCCCAAAAAAAAGGGGGAAAATATTTTAACTATACATGGTGATGGATGCTAAGTAGACTTGCTTGGTGACCATTTTGTGATAAATATACAAATATTTAATTAAGATGTTGTACACCTAAAAGTAAGGTATGTCAATTATACCTTTTAAAAAATCATGACCTGCAACACAAAGGAAATTTTGCTGGGATGCATTGTCCTCCCCCTCTTCCTCTGCCTCCTCCACAGACTCTCTTTATCTTCCAACATCTGGCTGTCCAGCCATCACACCTGGGTATTCTGCAACACGTGTTGCACTTTGTTCCTTTTTAATGCCTTTCCCCAATGTGTATGTTTGGGAGTGGGGTAGGGCGGGAAAGGAACCCAGGCTCTCAGACATAGGAGTGTGTTTCTTACTTCTGAGCTACAATCCCAGCCCTGCTCTTCACCTCTCCATGTCCCACCAGCCAGTAATCTCTTTTGAGGTCCCCTGGGGCGAGGTTATGCCTGTCAGAGAATGAACTCTGTATGCTCCTTGCTACTCTATGTCTAGTGAATGAACTGATGTGTAATATTGCTGTGTAAGACAACAGTTCTCAAAGCAAATCACCATCAAGAGATTTTGTTGTGCATTATCATAAGTGGGCAATTGTCCACTCTTTGAGACTCATTGAACTAGAACCTCAGAGGAGAGGCCCCACACTCATATGCTGTTATCATATTGCCCTGCTGATTCTGACGTCCAAGTTTGGAAGGGCAAGCCTTCCAGACTTGTAAACCTCTCTAAACAGTAAGTAAACTTCTAAACAGTAAGCCTCTCCCTCTGAAGTCAGGTTAAATGGAAGAGCCAGCCCTTCCCATTCCAAGGAGCTACAGCTCCGCAAGAGGTGAACAGCTAATGGAATTCAACAAGCACTGTGCGAGGAATGGACTCCCCACTCAGCTCCTGGATGCCTCAGGAGGAGATGGTCATGGGAGAAGCAGGTTTGTGAGTCTGAGACAATTCATCCCAGAACATATTTACTTAATTTGTGTCTAATGTGTCTTGATTTCCACATTATTTTATTATTATTTTATGGATGATGAAACTGAGGCCCAGATAGGATAACATGTTAGTCCCAAAGCTGAAATGTCAGCTCAACTCAATGCTCTCACCTTCCAAACCAGATGCTTTCTGGACTCTGCAAGTTAGTCTGTCTGGGCCTCAGTTTCCTCACTTGTAAAGCAATAATAAAATAATGTGTCTTCATTTCAAGAAAAAAATTGGCGGGGGGGGGCCGCTGGCTGACTTTCATCTTTCTTTCTTTCTTTCTTTCTTTCTTTCTTTCTTTCTTTCTTTCTTTCCTTCTTTCTTCTTCGGCCACACCCAACAGTGCTCAGGGGTTACTCCTTATTCTGCACTCAGGAATTACTCCTGGACGGCTCAGGGGACCGTATGAGATGCGGAGTATCGAACCAGGGTCAGTCACATGCAAGGCAATGCTCTATCTGCTGTACTATCACTCTGTCCCAGGCTTTCTTGTATGGGAATTTTTGTATTTCCCAGAGATCCTAATATTATTCAGCAGACATCCAATAACTGTTGGATAGACGGGAATTAAAAAAAGAACAGAAAAGTATCATAACACGGAGGAGATAGTGGGATGTGTGTGGGAATCTCTTTTCTTCCAGGCAAGCCCTCTGCCCTGGGGCTAGCTAGGGACAAGAAAAGAGGAAAAAAACTACAACTCCCAAAAGACCGTAAAAGGGCCGCTGCACGCATGCCTAGGTCCCGCCCCTTAGCTCCCGCGGCGCCCCTGGCGCATGCGCTCTCGGATCCAGTCGCCTTCCGACCCCCGGCTTTCCCCGGCCAGAGTTGGTGGCAGGACCTCGTGGGACCTCGTGCGACCTCGACCGCTGCTTGTGATGCTTGCCTTCTCGCTGCTTTCGGCGACTCGGGTAAGAATGGGGCTCCGAGACAGTGTTGCCGTAGGAAACGAAGTCTCCTCCTACCTTAGTTCCCATTCACAAACTCTGGGGTTCTCCCGCTTTTCCACGCACGTGGTTGGAGTCCTCGGGGAGCAGATGAGTAACTAGGGATTCCCGGAGGTCCCCGGGTGTCGCAAGGGCTAACGGTTCCCGCTCCATTCCTCACACCAGACGTGCCAGGGCTTCCTGACGTGGCGTGTGGTGTGAGAACCTCGCCGGATGCCCCGGGGCTCTACCGGGGCGAATGGGCAGCTTTCGGGCATGGACCGGCCCGCTGACCCCTCCTGCCTGCTCGGAGCTAGCAGATGATGCAACCGGCCCTGCTGCTTGCATCAGGGGTCCCGCGACTTTATGGGCTGGCAGGTGGTAGAAACTGTGTGTTGTTGGGGTGTGAGAGTGGGGTGTGCACAGGACCTGGATGTGGGTTTGGCTTCCTTGCCAAATAAATGCCCCATACCTGTTCTCCAAGGACTGCTGAACCACCTCTAAAGTCCCATCAGCCCCCATAAGAGTGTCCTGTAGGAAGACCCTTTTTGTTCAGTGAGTAGGACCATCCCTGAGTGAAAGACAGTTTTCTGGAGGACAAACTTTGCCCTGTGGCTTTGCAGAGTGGTTCAGGGGTCAAGCAGGAGGGAAATTCTGAGGTGAAGTGAATGGACCGAATCAGAGCCACCCCCTGGACATTGATCTCAATCTTGGCTCCAGAATGGCATTTAAAGGTGGAGGTGGGGGGTGGAAAGAACTAGAACAAGCAGACTGGACAGCTGGCAGCTGGGTTTGGAGCCAGAGGGTGTGATAAGCAGGACAGAGGGGTGTTGGCTGGCGCCCTGGGTGTTTGATTTGACACTGCCTTTTCCTTCCCTAGCCTCTGCGGAGATGTGGGCGGCTGGGCGGCATGGCTGTGCGGTGGCAGCACCGTGAGGCAGCCCGGACCCAAACTGGAGAAGCAGCGAGGGGCTGGACAGGCCAGGAGAGCCTGGCAGAGAGTGACCCTGAGCTGTGGGAGCTGCTGCAGAGAGAGAAGGACAGGCAGTGTCGGGGCCTGGAGCTCATTGCCTCCGAGGTAGGCACCAAAGGGGCAGGCAGCCCTGGGTCACCTCACTGCCCTATCACTGCATCTCCCTCCCGACTTGGGGCCTGCCTGTGGGACCTCGTCCCTCCTCCCTTTCTTTTTCTTTTTTTGAGTCACATCCGGCCATGCACAGGGGTTATCCTGGCTCGTGCACTCAGGAATTACTCCTGGTGGTGCTCGGGGGACCATATGGGATGCTGGGAATCGAACCTGGGTCAGCCAAGTGCAAGGCAAATGCCCTACCCGCTGTGCTATGGCTCCAGCCCGCCTCTCCCCCCACCTCCCCATTTCTTAACTGTACTCTGACACAGTCAGGGCATGAGATGTGGCCTCAGAGCGCTTTTTAGATCACTGCAGACTTGTTCCAGGAAGAGAGGGGCCCGGAGCTTCTAAGGGAACAGGTGGCCTTGCTAGGGACACTGGCATAGCATCTGGTGTCACTAGCTGCCTCTGTCCTTTATAAGCCTGGCCGGGAGCCCCAAGTGAGCAGAGGGCCTCCCTGTGGCCTGGGTGTCCAGCAGGGTGGAACTGGGGGCTCTCGGGGGTGTCCTCAATGCCTCTGACATTGCCCCTCCTCCCAGAACTTCTGCAGCCGGGCTGCTCTGGAGGCCCTGGGCTCCTGTCTGAACAACAAGTACTCAGAAGGTTATCCTGGCAAGAGGTGAGGGCGAGCCCTGAGGGCATGCCTGCCTGTGTGCACGGAGGCGTGGCCTCGAGGGGGATGGAAGAGCCCCTTCCGTGCGCCCTCACGGGCCCTCGCTCCTGTGGCAGGTATTATGGGGGAGCAGAGATTGTGGATGAAATCGAGCTGCTGTGCCAGCGCCGGGCCCTGGAGGCTTTTGACCTGGACCCTGCGCAGTGGGGAGTCAATGTCCAGCCCTACTCAGGGTCCCCGGCGAACCTGGCCGCCTACACCGCCCTCCTGCAGCCTCACGACCGGATCATGGGCCTGGACCTGCCTGATGGGGGACAGTGAGTGTGATGGTGGGGGGAGGGACCCCCGTCCCCACGCGGGGAGGGTGGCATGTGCTCGGAGCCGTTTTCCAGGCACAGAGGGCCTCAGGAGTGTGGCAGGAGTGAGGCCAGGGTGACCCCTGCAGCCTTCTCCCGTCCTCTCCCTCCCAGCCTCACGCATGGCTACATGTCTGACGTCAAGCGGGTCTCGGCCACGTCCATCTTCTTCGAGTCCATGCCGTACAAGCTGAACGTGAGTGCCAGAAGGGGAGGGCTCTCTGGGGGCACGGTGCACTGTCCTGCTGCCTCCTTGGGCTCTAGCTGGCTGTCTGTCCGTCCAGCCCCAAACTGGCCTCATCGACTACGACCAGCTGGCCCTGACGGCGCGCCTTTTCCGGCCAAGGCTCATCATTGCTGGCACCAGTGCCTACGCCCGCCTCATCGACTACGCCCGCATGAGAGAGGTTGGTGGGGGGGCTGGGCACAGCCCCAGGGGTGGGCGGGGAGGCTGCAGGCTCGCCGGGCTCCCTCCCCACTTGGCCCAGGCTGAGGCTCTCTCTGTACCTGCCCAGGTATGTGATGAGGTCAAGGCTCACCTGCTAGCAGACATGGCCCACATCAGTGGCCTGGTAGCTGCCAAGGTGATCCCTTCACCTTTCAAGCATGCGGACGTTGTCACCACCACCACCCACAAGACCCTCCGAGGGGCCAGGTCAGGCTCCCCTGAGGCCGGGCCTCCCCCTGCCTCACGCTCCCCTTCCCGGGCACGGCTGGGCTGCCTTGAGCCTTCCGCTCCCACCCGAGCCCCGGAAGTCTTCTTCCCACTTGCCGGCGACAGGTCTTTGCCGCCCACAGCAGCCCTGCTCCTGCGGGGGGTTTGGGGTGGGGGAGGGGCTGCTTCCCTGGACCTTTCCGTCAGGTACTGCAGTACCGCCGGGCTGGACTCGGAGGTCCGCAGAGGCCAGGCCAGGCAGCTCCTCAGCTATGCCCAGCCCTGCCCGAGCTCTCCCCATCCATTCTGACCCCTGTTCCTACACAGGTCGGGGCTCATCTTCTACCGGAAGGGGGTGCGGACTGTGGACCCCAAGACTGGCCGGGAGATCCCGTACACGTTTGAGGATCGAATCAACTTCGCGGTGTTCCCCTCCCTGCAGGGAGGTCCCCACAACCATGCCATCGCCGCAGTCGCTGTGGCCCTCAAGCAGGTTGGAAGCCTCCCCGGGGGGCTGCGGCAGGAGGCGGGCAGGCCTGGAGGCACCAGCTGGCGCCTCTTTCTAGCTGATGTGGAAAGCCCCGGAGGCTTTCTTTGGGATTGTGGGGGACACAGCTATGTGGGGGTGGACGCGCAGAGGGGGCGGGGCCTGGGGTCACGGGTGCCGCACTCTCGCCACCAGGCCTGCACCCCCATGTTCCGGGAGTACTCGCTGCAGGTTCTGAAGAACGCTCGGGCCATGGCAGACGCCCTGCTGCAGCGCGGCTACTCGCTGGTGTCCGGTGAGCTAGGGCAGGGGGGAGCCTCGGTGGCCTGAGGCAGGCAGCCCCTGACTCACTGTCCCCCACCCCCGCTCCCAGGTGGCACCGACAACCACCTGGTGCTGGTGGACCTCCGCCCCAAGGGCATGGACGGGGCTCGGGCCGAGCGCGTGCTGGAGCTCGTGTCCATCACGGCCAACAAGAACACGTGTCCTGGCGACCGCAGCGCCATCACCCCGGGGGGCCTGCGCCTTGGTGAGCCCTGGGGTGGAGGAGGAAGAGGGGTGCTGCTTGTGGCAGGAGGGGGCTGCGCTGACCCTCCCCCGCTGACCTCTGCCAGGGGCCCCGGCCTTGACCTCCCGACAGTTCCGTGAGGACGACTTCCGCAGGGTGGTGGAGTTCATCGACGAGGGTGTCAGCATTGGCTTGGAGGTGAAAAGCAAGACGGGTGAGTGCAGGACCCGGGCTTTGGGGCACGGGGAGGACCCTCCGGCTCCCTGCCCTGCCCCCCGAGTCTGACCACTTGCCCTCTCTCCACCTCGCCAGCCAAACTCCAGGATTTCAAATCCTTCCTGCTCAGCGACCCCGAGACCAAGCGCCGGCTGGCTGACCTCCGGCAGCGGGTGGAGCAGTTTGCCCGGGCCTTCCCCATGCCTGGCTTTGACGAGCACTGACAGCATCGTGGAAATGGGGTGCACAGACTGAAATTTCTTCTCCCTCCCCGTCTCTGGGCCCACAAAGGGCACGCCTGGCTCCGGCATGTCTGCTGGAGGAGAGAGTGTCCCTCCCCACAGCCCGGCACCCACATCCGAGTCGAGACTTTTCGTAACAAGACTTGTATCTTCCAGGGGCTTTCCGCCCTGAGCTCGCCCCCTCTCAGTGTTAGGCTCCCCGCTCTCCTGAGGGGGAGTCGCCCTCCTGAGCCAGCAGGAGGGAGGGGTGGGCACCCTCCTTTCTGTTTTTATCTAATAAAATGCTAACCTGCTCCTGCACTTCTTGCACTGGGCGAAGGGTCCCCTGGGCAGGGGGTGGCTTGTCTCCCTCAGCACCCCCTTTCCCCCGCCCCCACCAGGACCCCCCGGGGCTGCAGCCTCCCCCCTGTCTCTGATCGCAGCCGACACCAGACGTGATTAGCAGGCGCAGCAAATTCAATTTGTTAAATGAAATTGTATTTTGCCCACGGCTGCTTCTGTTTGATCCCCCGGGATGGAGGGGAGCCAGGGAGGGGCAGGCAGCGGCGTGGGGGAGCCCAGGTGCTAGGCGGGAGGGGGTGCGGGCAGGGGCGGGATCCCCGCTGTGGCAGCCCACTGCGAGCCCGGTCGAGCCAGAGCAGTGCGCTGTGCCTGGGCTGGAGCCCGAGCCCGAGCCGGCGTGGGGCCCGCCACGTCGCTTGGCACTCAGGCCTCTGCTTGCCTTGGCTCATGTAGGCCACGCGCAGCACGTAGCCTGGGCCACACCCTCTGAGGCCCCTGGGAAGGGGGCTGGGCCAGGCCTCCGGGTGGACAGGGCTACTGCCCTCCCTTCCCTTCCCCTTCGGGATTCAAGCTGAGGGTCAGAGGCGCTTCCGCTGCTGGGAGCAAGGGGAGGGGTGGGTGGAGCTGGATCCCCGCTGCGTGGGAACCCCGGGTCTGCGTGAGCAGGGCCTGGGCAGGAGCTAGCCTGCTGACCGCGGCTTGCATTGAATGCGCCCCCGAGCCCAGCTCAGAAGTCCGGCCGGTCCTTCTTCAGCTTCTTGTAGTCGGTGGAAACGGCAAGAAACTAGGGGGTAGAGAGGGGGTTTGCACTGAGTGCCCCAGCCTCTGGCTTGTGGGGCACTGAGGGCAGGGTGGGTCCAGGGATGAGCCGGGCGGGCACAGTCCTAGTGCCACCGGGGGTACCTTATACTGATCATTAGGACTCAGGCGGTTCCATGGCTCCGGGTTGTTCTTTCGGTCCCAGCTGTGGACAAGGAGGGGCAAGGGGACGAGCTATGGCTGCAGCCTAAGGTGACAGGGTCAGCCTCACCCCAGTACCCCTTCCTGCTGCAGGTGGGGGCTTCTAGAAACGAGAGGGGGGCTATCAGTGCTGAACTGGCCCAGAAAGCTGTCCAGAGGCTGGAGAAATAGCACGGCGGGGAGGGCACTTGCCTTGCACACGGCCCACCTGGATTCTATCCCTGGCACCCCATATGGTCTGAGCCCCACCAGGAGCAATCCCTGAGCAGAGAGGCCAGGCAAAACTCCCACAGGGACGGCTGAGATGTGCCTTGAATGCCAATAACAGCAATGGGGTGGGGGGAACTTCTGACATACGCAGGTGTCCCTGCGACCCAGTCACCCCTAGTGGCGCTCCACAGTGTTCTGCTCCCCGCCACCCCCCCCCCCCCCGAACTCCCCTCGCGGAGATAGAGGTACCCAAAGGCTGCTGGCGGGCACAGCAGTGTCGCCATGGTAACCAGGCCCTGAGCAGTGTGGACTGCACAACCCAAAGCCAGTGGCCACCGACCCGCTGCAGCCTTGCAGTGCGTCAGGCCAGAGGAGGCTCCGGGTCAGCCGGCAGGAGTCCCGCCAGGCCCCATGCCCCCCACCTGTCCCCTGCATTCTCAGCCTATCTTGCCACAGCCAGGACCCCTGAGAGTGCCCCGAGCCGGGCCTTTACCAGACGTCAGGGCTGCGCAGGGCGAGTCGCAGCAGGTAGAGCGCGGCGCTGCCCATACCCAGGCCGATGAAGCCGATCATCGGGATGAGCTGCGGGAAGATGAGGGGACTGTCAGGGTCAGTGCCTTCCCTGTCCCCAAGTTCCAAGTCATCCTCGACCAGCTCTTCTGCTTGGCCAGCTCCCATGCCACCAGCTCAGGCCCCCCCAGCCCACTCCCAGGTTCTGCAGGAGGGGCCTGGAGCACCCCCCCTCCCATTTTCCTGCCCATCTCCTCACTCCATAGTCGGCCTGTCCGAGCAGGGCTCAGTGGACCTCAGGCATGTTGGGATGGGATGGGACCACTCTAGGGAGAGCCAGAACTGGGACAGCTAACTTAGGGCAGGGCCCTGGACTGGAATCTGGCTGTACGGCAGAGCTGGGACACGGCTTGGGGGAATCAAACTCACCCCCGGATGTCTCTTGACCTGCCGGTATAAGCGGGCCCCCAGGCTGGTTCCTGCCATGGTTCCACTGTGCTCTGCTCCGCCTGCAGCTCTGCTCCCTCACTCCTCCTGGGGTCCCGCCCCCCTGGGGAGGGGTCAGCCCAACCCAGCCTGGCCCAACCCCTGGTCCAACCCGCTTCCTTCACTCCCAGCTTCCTCCCACATCTGGAAGCTGGGAGTTGAACTGTTAGGGAGCAGAGAGGCTCTAGCTGTCCAGTCTCTGGATATGGGTGTGACCTGGCCCAGAGGGTCCCCCGGTACTGGGCACCGGGGTGAGCTGGTGAGAGAATGCTCCAAGGAGAAGAAGGGGCTCTCCATGGGACCCCCAACAGAACTGTGTGTGTGATCCCTCAGCTGGGACCAGGAACGAGTGAGAGTGTCTCTAGCTCTTCGCCACATAGACCCTGGAGCCCTTCAGGAGCTCAAAGGTATTAGGACCCTGGCTTTTTCCCCAATTTTTTGACACACCTTTTGTGGAGCGATAGCACAGCGGGTAGGGCGTCTGCCTTGCACACAGCCAATATGGCCGACCCGAGTTCGATTCCTCCGCCCCTCTCGGAGAGCCCGGCAAGCTACCGAGAGTATTCGATATGCCAGACACAGTAACAACAAAGTCTCCAATGGAGACGTTACTGGGCCCGCTCGAGCAAATTGATGATCAACGGGAGGGCCTTTACTTTACTTTACTTTTACTTTTGTGCTCAGGACTTACTCCTGACTCTGTGCTCAGAGCAGTGCTCATGGGAGGACCATATGTAGTGCTGGGGATTGAACCGGGTTGGTCTCTGCAAAGCAAATGCCTTCCCCTGTGCTTTCTCTGTGACACCTGAAAACCTGGATTTCTCTCAGTATGGTGGGGGCGGGGGCGGGCAGCGTTACACTGGCACAGCCCCCCCATGGCCCGGGGTGCTGTGGGCAGGTCGGTCGGTCTGGAATAGTGTTTGGAAGCCAGCCCCCTCCAAACCCAGCTCATGGTGGAAGTGTGGCAGCCTCCAGAGGCTTGTGGCTTCCCCTGCGGTGAGAGGTGGATACTCTCCCTAGGGGAGAGGAAGATTCTGAGGGACAGGACATGACCTGCTTCCCTTCAGGTAGGCCACCAACTCAGGTGTGTGCTTCCAGCAAGGGTAGAGACTGGCAGGTGCTAGGGACTCAGGAGCCACGTTTGGGTTTTTGTTTGTTTTTGGTGGGGGCGGCCACACCCTGCTGTGCTGAAGGCTTACTCCTGGCCCTGCACTCAGGCATCATGTCTGGCAGGGCTCAGGGGACCAGATGGGATGCTGGAGATTGGACCCTGGCTGGCAGCGCGCAAGACTGCACCTTGCCTGCCGCACGATGGCTCGGGCCCGGTCTTAACCCACCTCTCCCCACTCAAGGTGCTTCCCAATTCCCGCCCCTGGAACCCTACTGGACTCCCCCGCTTCTGGAGCGGGCATCATGGCCTAAAGAGCAGGGGAGAGCAATGCATTTGCCTCCAGACTCCTGGGACGCAGGAAGGGAGGGAAGCGCCCTCAGGCTGCCCTCCAAGGGGCCCCTTCCTCCACTTGCGCCCCCCACCCTCTGCTACCTCCCCACTCCCTGCGCTGACAAGCGCGGCTGTAATTAGGCTGCGGGGTCCTGGGCTCGCCGCCTCCCTACGGCGGATAATGAGATAAAGTGTCAGAGACACGGCGAGAACAAAGAGACAGAGACCCGCGGCGACGTGTGACTGGGGCGGGGGAGGGGGACTGACGGGATGTCAAAGACTGGAGCCCGCGGCGCCCCGCCCTCTGCAGCGCCCGCACCTTCAGGCTGCGGAGGGGTGCCGAGGTGTGTCGTCTCCGTGGCTCGCCGCCTTCCACTTTCTGGAATTGAAAATCAACCCCGGGGCTAGAGCTCGGGGACTGCACATCTGCACTGCACATCTGGCTCCGTGCGGCCCAGCTGGGGCGCGGGGACACCGGGCAGGAACGCCTGGCCCCTGCGCGCTGGCCCGCCCTCTCCACCCTTGTGCACTTCCGTGACCCGGGAATTCGGAACCGCAAGCGCGTTCTGGACCTCGTGTTCCCCTTTCCCGGAGCTACCTCCGCCCTCCTGCCGGGGGCTCCCCGCCCAAGCGCCCAACTCCTCCGAGCTCCCTGCCACTCACGTCGTTGCTTCCTGCCTGGCCTCTCCGCGGACTCCTTCCTGCCTTTGGGGTCTCCGACCCTTGGTCTGTGACCCTGCTCCTCTCCCGGGACGGTCGCACCCTGGGCCGAGTTGGGACAACACAGAACCAACTCCGGGAATTCCAGATTCCATCTGGAACTCCTCCCCAGCGGGAACTTCGGGCCACGACAGCCGGCTCGGGTGGCGCGGGGGGCTGGGGGCTCCCGACGCAAACGACGACGCGGTCGGGACACAAAGCCCTTGGCAGGCGGTGGCCGTCAAAAGCCGGAGGGGCCCTGCGGCGCGAGCGGCCTGCGGGGGCCGGGGCGCGGGCGCCCCCTGGAGGCCGAGCTGTTCCCAGCGCGAAGGGGCGAGGCCTCGGGCGCCCCCTGTCGGGCCGCGGAGACCGGCGCCCAGCGGCTTCGGTCCGGGTGAGTCGGCGCCTGCCGCCACCCGCGCCTCGGGGCGGGTCCCGCGGCCTCGGCTCTGCCCGTGAGAGGTGGGGCCTGGGGCGGCGGGGTCGGGAGGAGAAGTGCGAGGAAGCGTCTGTCTGGCCGTCCGCGGGCCGGTCCCCGGCTGGTGGCGGCGCTTCCTCCCCTCACCCCGGTCCCGGGACTCCTGCCCTTTGCCCTCTGACACCGGCTGCTGTGCCTTCTTCCTCTCTTCCTGCCGAGGCCTGTTGGTCGGCCTGTCGGCGTCCCCGGGTTTCTCATCCTTCTGGCTGTGTCTGTCTGTCTCGCTCTCTGCCCCTCTCCCCCCGTCTTTGTCCCTCGGCACGGCTTCTCTGCGTCTGTCCTCGCCTTCCCGCTAGATAGCCACCTCGCTCTGCCACCGTCTTCACCTCCGGCTCTCCCTTCCCGCTCCCCAGCTTCCGGCCCGCTCTTGGCTTGCGGGCGCGGATGGACAGCAGCAGCCCAGCGGGGCAGCCTGGGAGCCCCCGGGGCACTGCCCGGGGTCCCCTTCCGGGCACCTCCACACGCCCGTCGGCTCGGCGCAGCTCGGTCTTCCCTCTGCAGATGCTGGGCGTGGAGGGGGCGCCTGGGAGGGGCGCCGGCGCCCGCATCTGCTCCGGAGCCCGGGGGGCCTCTGACCCCCGCTGCTGCTACTAGGGCGCCGGTCCCGAGGCGCTGCGATGATCGTGATTGCATCAGCCAGACCGCCGCGCCGCGCGAGCGAGACAAAGACGCCCGCGCCATCTGTTTATGCAAAGCGCGCTCCGCCCGGAGACCCCGGCGTCCTGGAGCCTGGCCCGGCTGGGGGCACCGGGTCAGGAGCCCGCTCCTCCCCGGAGCCCCCGCTGCGCTGCGGCTACCCCCTCCCAGCACCAGAGGGGGCCGCGGGGCAAGCGGAGCGAAGGGGGACGGGGGCGGGGGTGTTGATGTGATTGGAGCGGACGCGGCTGTTTCTTCAATAATGGATGGAGATGATGCGGACGGCGGAGCCAAGCCCGCCGGAGAGGAGAGAGGAATAGAAATGGGGAGACGACGGGGTGGGGGCGGGAGACCTACACAGGCGCGCGGCCTCTGCGCGCCCGCGCGCGCGCTCACACACACGCACACACAAACACTAGCGCGTGCGTCACTGTCATTCGAATACACGCCGCCGCGGCTCACACCCAGGCCCGCGCCCACGCCCTGTCACTGAGACACACACCTGCAGGCGGAGACGCCGGAACAACACACACTCGGCTTGGCGGAGGCGCTCCCCGATTCTCACACACAGCCACGCAGACACACGGAAATACCCATCCCGGGCGGGGGGAGGGGGGCACGGGGCACGAAACACATAGATTGAGGCACCCCGATCAGATATGCGCACTTAGACATCCAAGGGCTTCTGCGCCAGGCTGGGTGTGGGTACATACAGGAGGGGGACCAACCACACAGCACCAGGACACGCACAGCTCCTGCTCACCCACAGACACCCATCAGCACAGGGGACAGCCACCCTGCCCCTTCAGAGGCTTGCACCCACATATGCTGTGGCTGTTGCCTGTGCTCTGCTGCAGGGAATGTGGCCGAGAGGTCACTGGGGTCTCCGGAACAAGCCTTGCCAGTTTGCATAATGAGGACCTGGCACCAGGACGTGTCTGGGGCTGTGGACCCTGTACCCCACAGACTGCATGCAATTGCCCAAAAGCTTCTTCCGGGGGACTCACGTCAGATCATGGTGGTGCTCGGGCCATTTTGGCCACAGTTGACTCAGCTGCTTCCCTCCTCCCTCCTGCCGCAAATAGGGAAAGGAGTGACAGTCATTGGCAGTGGCACAGGGAGAGTCCCAACATCCCAAGGTGGGAGTGGAAGAGCCATTCTGTGTCCCTACACCCCTGTGCCACCCAACCTCTTGCTCCAAGGCCAATGCACCAAGTGGAGCAGGCGTGGGGGTGGGGTGGGGTGCAGGTGTAGGCCCTGCCGCCCAGCCTCTCTTTGGTCTGTTTTCAATGCAGGTAGCTCCTTAGCCCAGACTTATGACCTTTGCAGTGCAAGCAGCACCATCCATCACCCAGGCTGCTGCTCCTGGGTGTGGGGGACTTTGCGGGGGTTCACAGGATTGCCGTCACCCCCTCTCTGTCTCTTGGGCCCTGTTTCCAGCTTGAAGGCTGGGGCTCAGCCTGAGGGCAAGTGTGAGGAGGGTGTGACTGGGGGAACGACTGGACCTCCTGTCCCACCCCGGCGTCCCGGGCATCCCACATCCATCCTCACAGCTCTGCACAGCCGGCCTCCCGGCTCCTCTCGCCCTCCCTCTCTCGGGCCCTTTGCTTAATTTCCTATTAACTGCTGATAAATCCAATTAAACCGCCGCTCTAATTAGGGACAGCTGCCGGCTCTGCCAGGCGGGGAGGGGGTGCCCCCCAAGTGTAGGGGGGAGGACAGTCTCTCTCTGCTTCTTAGCACCCCCCCACGCTAGCATCTCCGCCCAATGAGCCAGTAAATTGGTTTTGCTTTGGCATTGTGGGGGGCCCTCTCGAGGACTTAAGGGGGGGATTCCAATCCGGAGACCCCTTCCATCAAATTGTTTGCTTGGTGGAAGGAGATGCAAGGGGGAAGCCTAGCTGTCCCTCCACCCCTCCCACATTTTGGTAGACAGTTCCCAAGAAGGAAGAAAAGGGGCAAAGGTTTGATTTGTGTGTGGTGCTGGAGGGACGTCTTTGATCTGTTCCTGTTCCAGTCCAAGCTTGATTCAAGGGGGGCTGTGAGGCTTCCATTATGACCCGCTGTGCCCCCTGGGATCAGGGATTGTCAAGGGCAAAGAAAACAGGACCCAGGGAGTCTTATGTGTTTTCCTACCCCCACCACACCTCAGCCTTCTGTAGGAAAGGGGGGCTCCGTCCGGGCCCTCCTCTTCCCCAGCCCAGCTGAGCCTCTGCCCTCCCCCGCCAGCAGCAGATGGTGCCCGGGCTCCCGCTGCCAACCTTGCTAGGCGGTGCCAACCTCAAGCCTGGCAGACAGCGGGCAGGAGAGGATCTCTTGACTGGACCGGCTAACCCTCCCCCACCAAGCTCAGGACCCCTCCGTCTGCCCCGCTCCTGCGATCACCCCAGGCTGCTTCTCACTGGTCCGCTCCCAGGTCCCCAAACTCCTTGTCTCCTTCAGCTCCCTTCCCCGCACCTTCCGGCTCCCCGCCACCTGCTACCCTGACCGGGGCCGGTGTATTAGCATATTTGCATATGCAAATAATAACATTTGCATACGGCGCGCCGCAGGGGGGTCTCGGCGCGAGCGGGTTAGCTGTCTGCCCCGCGCCCTCTCACTCTCTACCTGTCGCAAAGGGCTGGGGAGGGGGCCGCGCGGGAGGGGTGAGGCCCCCGGTCTCGCTCGCGCGGCTCCCGGAGGACTTGAGGAAGTGTTGCCATGGAGACGGCACGCGCCCCACCCCCTCCCAGGCCCAGGGTCTCGGTGTCTCTGGTTCTCTCCTCTCTCCACACCCCCTCTCTCGCGCCCCACTCCGGCCCTCGCTCTCCAACTGAGATCTTGCATCGCCCCCTGGCGGCGCAGCTCGGCACTGAGCCAGGCTCCGCAGCCTGCGCGGCTGCCCGCGGTTCCAGAACTGACCTGCTGGTGCTAGGGCATCCTGCTCCCCGGTGCAGGGGCGCGGGGCGTCCCTCGCGGACCACAGAGACCTCAGCCCACCGACGCACCTGTCTCCCGAGCTCCTACCAGACTCTGCCCCGGTGGGCTTCCGGTTAGCCGAAGGCAGAGGGATGAGACAGCTGAGAACGCTCCCCTTCTTAGGGACTCCCCTTGTCTCCCCCTTAGAACCCAGTTCAAAAACGAACTTTTCTAAGTTTTGTGGAAACTTTAATAAATTCCAACATTCCACGGTTTGCTTCGATCCCCTTCCTGATTGTGTGTGTGTGTGTGTGTGTGTGTGTGTGTGTGTGTGTGGTGTGCTCAGTGGACACAAGTTCATTCTCTAGCTCTCAGAGGCTGGGCCTGAGAGGTTGAGAAGAAAGGCAGCTGGCCTCTGAGGCTCGGTTTTGGGGTAGGAAGTTGGGAAAAGGAGGTGGAAACATGTCCCTTCCCAGAAGCCACTTGACTTTGAGAGCTTTTCCATCCCTTTTCTCCCTCTCGGTGTTTTTGCCTCTATCCTCCCCAATCCGACCTGCTCCACTGGACCTGCCCAGAACGGGGCAAGGGTGAATTTGGCCGGCAGGTGTCTTGCTTGCCTAAATCTCTTCCAGGAAGTCAGTGGGGAATAGCCCCACCTTGCGACCCGTGTAGACCTTGACGTAGCCACCAGCTTCATCTCCTTTCTGCACCACAATCTAAAGGATTAAAGGGTTCAGTTGGAGAGGAAAGGGCAGAGGAGGGCAGGGGAGACTGGCATTCTTGGGTTAAAACCTGTAAAGAATCTAGTTTGCAGGCGAGTCGAGGTTCGGTTGGGGCACTAGGGCTATCTGGTTTTATCTGGGGTGGGGGCAAGGGGGTGGGGTTTCAGGTGCTGAGATACAATTCAGGATCACACACATGCAAGGCATATGTGAGCTGTATCTCCAGCTCCTACCTGATCCTTTTTGAGAGTGATCTGCCCTATTTCTCGGTTTCCCACGAAGGATCTTGTTACGCGGTGTACACGCTCTCCAGCCCGGACGCGAATGATGAAGTTTGGAGGGAAAAATCCCACCTTCTCCCCTATCTTCCCCTAGAGGAGGTGGCAGGGACAATCAGTCTCCAAATTTCAGGTTCTATACCCTGATGCTTGTTGCACCTACCCTCGGCCATTAACTCTTACCCGCCACCACTCCTCGTTGGAATCATCCACGACTATTATCTTCTCTCCAGGCCTGGGAGAGAAAGGGAGGGGTCTCAGACGCCAAGGCCTGACTCACAAACCCAGCCATCGGTTATACCCAGCTCCAGGCCCAATAGGCTCTAGCCCTCATTCCCTGTTCCCCATTTAATCATTTAATTCCTCCTGGGGACCTGGGATCTCCCATCCCAGGACAATCCACCCCAATCCTTAGGCCTCTCACGGGAAATCCAGATCATCCTTCTCCAGGGCTTTGAACCGATAGAGAGCCACAAAATAATGAGACTGCTGGAAACCAGGCTGCTTGTGCTGCGGGTGGAAGGGGTGACAGATTTCAGGGCTCCTTTGTCCCTTCCTGAGGGGCAGGAGTCCAAGGCGGAGGCATTCTCTGGACAAGCTATGTTCTAACTCCCTTCCAGGTCTCTGGACTAAAAGATGCGTGTTAGCAGTGGTGGAGGGAAAGGCAGGTTAAGGGTGAAGTTGGATTACTCAGTGTGAGGATGTGAATGTCACCTGGCTAGGGAGAGGACTGGGGTCCCTGTAAGAAGAAAGGATTCTTACTTTGTCATCAGTGGTCTTCTTTTCTGCCTTCTTCACCCCTTCAGAGTTTCCTGGGATGGAAACACCGACAAATTGCCTGGCTCCCACGGGGAACCTTCACTCTTACTCTTCTGTTGGTGAGTAGCTTTCTCTCTCATCTCCAAACCTGGCATTCTTTTGCCCTCTGACCCCGGGCCCCAGATGAGTCCCTGGGTGACACTCACCATCCTGGGGTTTGCTGTCCTCTGGCCTGGCAGGCTCTGGCTCCTCTTCCATCATGTCTGCGAGAGGCTGGAGGAGGCACCAGAGTTAGGAAGATGCTGTCTGGGTAGCCTAGGCTTGCCCTGGTCTCCGGCTAGGCCAGACAACTCTAGCATACTAGGATCCCTTGGAATGAAAAGAAGGTTGGAAGAAATATCTGGCCCAACCGCCTGCTTACAGCAGGCACTTGCTCCTAAACTTTCCGGCAGATGGAGCATCCGCGCTGTGCTTGAACCTAGCTAAGGACAGGACAGGGGGCTCACTATTTTGTAGAACAAGCCTATGCAATTTGGGAGCAATTCTCTGAAGTCTGCTAGTCTCCCCTCACTTTTACTTATCATTCCCGATTTGCCCTTTATATCAATGTAGCATATAGTCCATTCATTCCCAGTTCATTCAAATCCCCCAGTGCTTCTGATTTCAGGTTCTTTACTATAACGTCTACTCTTAAAATACCCTAGTATGTGGGCAGCAGAGAAACCTTAAAGGGCTGGTTGGGTTGAGTGATAGTTCAGTGGGTAGGACACTTGCCTTGTACATGGAAGACCCAGTTTCGATCCCATATGGTCCCCTGAGCACTGCCAGGAGTAATTCCTGAGGACTGCTGGATGCGGCCCCCAAACAGAACAAACCAAAAAACCCTGCTCTGCACGCAGGAGTTGCACCTGGCAGTGCTTGGCGGACCACGTGAGATGATACTGGGGACTGAACCTGCATTGGTTTGTGCAAAGCAAATGTTTTACCCACTGTACTATCTCGGCCTCCCCCCACCCCCTTTTCTAGGTCTTGAGTCTTTTTTTGTTTTTGTTTTTTGGGCCACACTCGGCAGTGCTCAGGGTTTACTCCTGGCTCTGCACTGAAGAATTATTCCTGGCAGTGCTTGGAATTACCCAGGAATTACTCCAGGCAGGCTTGGGGGGGGACCATATGGGATGCCAGGGATTGAGCCTGAGTCAGCTACCTGCAAGGCAAATAATCTCCCCACTTTGGCTATTGCATTGACTCCAGGAGCATATTCTTGACATGCAGGAACCTGGGTTCAATTTCCAGCACTGCATGGCCCCCCAGCACTGCCAGGTATGTTTTGTTTGTTTAGGGGCTGGAGAGGTAGTACAGAGGGAAAAGTGTTTGCCTTGCATATCGCCAACCTGGATTCAATAACCAGCACTCATAGGGTCCCCTGAGCATTAATAGAATTAATTCCTGAGCACAGAGCCATGAGTGAGGCCAGAGAACTGCCGATATGGCCCAAAAATGAAAAAAAAAAATAAAAATATTTTTTAAAATATTGTAAGAGGATTGGAGTGATAGCATAGTAAGTAGGGTACTTGCCTTGCATGCAGCTGACCTGAGTTTGATCCCTGGTACCCCATATTGTCCCTAAAAGCTGGAAACAAACGAAACCCCACCCCCTTCAAAAAAACCCCCAAAATATAAAATGGGCAGGGAAAGTTTTTGTAATTTTCCTTATAAAAACACTGGGCTGCTGTGCCTGCTTTATAAGAGGAGCCTGTCTGATTTCTGGAGCACTGTGGGAGTAGCACCCGAACACAGAACCAAGAGTAACTTTTTTTTTCTTTTTGGGTCACATCTGACTCTGCACAGGGGTTACTCCTGGCTCTTCACTCAGGAATTAACCCTGGTGGTGTTCAGGGGACCATATGGGATGCTGGGAATTGAACCTGGGTCGGCAGCATGCAAGGCAAACGCCCTACCCACTGTGCTATTGCTCTAGCCCCAAGAGTAACTTCTAAGAACTGTCAGGTTGGCCTTCCCAAAATAAATACCCATCAGGAAAAAAAAAACCAAAAATAAAAAAAAAGAATCCAAGGATGTGACAAATTACATTGCCTGTGTCTTGCAAGTCAGAGTTTGCTCCACAGTGAGCAAATTTGCACCCGACCTTTATAGAAAATACTTTGAGGCCAGATCCTAGTCATATCTTTGTGTAGTTAATTTGGGGGTGGCAGTTGATCCAAGAGTACTTTTTCCTTACAAAAATTTTTTTTCAGGTCACAACCAAAAGTGTACAGAGCTTACTCCTGGCTCTGTACTCAGGGATCACTTCTGGGGCAAGAGGACAATTATGGGATCAAACCCAGGTTGGCCGCATGCAAGGCAAGTACCCTACTCACTGTACCATCACTTCAGTCCCCTTACAATAATAAAAAAAAAGTTAAAAAAGTTTTTATTTCATTTTTGGGCCACATCTGGAAGTACTCAGGGCTTACTCATGACTCTGTGCTCAGGGATTAATTTTGACAATGCTCAGGGGACCCTATGTGGTGCTGGGCATTGAACCCAACCAGGTGGCTATGTGCAAGGCAAGACCTTCCCCACTGTACTATCTCTCCAGCCCCTAAATGTTTATTTTAAAGGTTTTGATTAAACAACTGACAATGCTCAGGGCTTGTTCCTGGCCCTGTGCTCAGGGATCATACCTGATGGGTTTTGGAGACCATCTGTGGGGCCGGTGGGGATTGACCCTGATCTATCATGGGCAAGGCAAGTGCCTTCCTGACTGTACTATCTCTCTGCCCCCTCCTTATAGAATATTAAATTTTAGTTTTGGGATTTTATTCTTATTTGTAAGAATTTCTTTTGAGTGTGTGTGTGTGTGTGTGTATGTGTGTGTGCCACATTCAGTGGTGGTCATTGGCTACTCCCAGCTCAGTGCTTGGGAAAACATTTGGTAGCAGTATCAAACCTGTGCTCCTGTAAAACTCAACCCCTGAGTCATTTCTCTGGTTCCTGGGTCCAGGAATTTTTTCTCCTTGTTTTGGTGTGGATTCATAAGCAATGCTCAAGCTGTGCTTGACCACCCACTTGGACAGTTCAGTGCTCAGGCTCAGCAGTGCTAACGGGCCTCCACGTGACAGCCAGCGGTACTTGGGAGGGCTGAGCATGGCCACAGATTGCACTAGGGTCCCACCTCTGTGTAAGATCTATACTCCAGCCTTCTGAGCTGTCGCCCAGGCCTCATGGCGTATAAGATCTTTTCGTGTGTGTATATGTGGGGGTTACATCTGGTGCTGGGGCTACTCCTGGCTTGGTGGTGCTGGGGAGGCTGCTCCCTGGTAGTGCTTGGGGGACTTTATGGCTTTGGGATCAACCTGGGCTTCCTACATACAAAGCATGTACTCTCTAGTCCTCTGAGTCATCTCTCCTAAAACTTAATGTTTTTTTCCTTCAGTTTTTGGGCCGCATTTAGCAATGCTCAGGAATGCCTTACCTGTCACAGACTTGGAATGGCCATACCATTTACATCTTCTTTGTTTTTTGTTTGTGTTTTGCTTTTTGGGTCACACCCAGCGATACACTGGGGTTTCTCCTGGCTCTGCACTCAGGAATTACTCCTGGCGGTGCTTGGGGGACCATATGGGATACTGGGAATGGAACCCAGGTCGGGTGCATGCAAGGCAAACGCCCTACCCACTATGCTATTGCTCCAGCCCCCTACATCTTTTTTGTAAGACAGAAGACAGAAATGTTCATAGATCAGAACCACGGACCAAATTATGGTAAAAGGCATTGGAGGGGGCTGAAGAGATAGTAGCCTTGCACTCATCCGACCTAGTTTGATCCTCATCTCCGCAGATGGTTCCCTGCGCATTGCCAGGAGTGACCCCAGAGCATAGGCAGGACTAAGTCCTGAGCACTACCAACCTTCTCTCCCCTTCAAAAAAGGCAGTAAAAATATCTTCTAGAGGGCTGGAGATAGTACAGCAGGTAGGGTGCTTGTCTTGCATGCAGTCAACCTGGGTTCAATCCCTGGCATCCACTATAGTACCCTGAGCCCCACCAGAAGTAATTCCTGACTGCAAAACCAGGAGTAAGCCCTGAGCACCACTGGGTGTGGCCCAAATACCCGCTTATGTCCCCTACTCCCGACGCTGAACATTTCCTAAGTATCAGGATCTTTTGGGTACCATCATTTAACCAGCTTTTGGAATCTCATCCTGGTTAGCCAGGAAGACAGGAGGATATGCTAACAATTCTTTGCTGAAGTGATTGCAAGTCTCTGTCACTGCTAAATAGTTACCCTTTTACAAAAAAGAAATAAAGTAGTTCCTGACCACATTCTTTGTGCTTCAGTTTCCTTACTTATAAAAGATCAGAAAACCTACAGGGACCCTTGCATGATGCTTGAATTCACCAACTACTTGGCACAATGAGTTCTCTTCCCTAAACCCAAAGGCATTGTCACTGTTCCCAACAATGCTGAGTTTGGGGACTAGTCTTTATTTGGATACAGTGGTTAACCTAGCCATTGATTGGAATAAACATACTTAATAGCAAGAGGTTTCTGTTTCTTGCACTGCTGAAGATTGAGCCCCTGGCCTCACAGGCCAGGTCAGTAAGTATTCTACCTCTGAGAGACTTTCCCTCTCTATCACAAGACTTCGTAACTCGAGGACCTCTAAAATTATGTGTAAAAATGTCATTTGGGTGACATGCACTTTCAGAGGGTCCCTAGCTTCTGTCAGCTTGTCAGAAGGCAGACAGGCCCACTCCATAGGGCATCTGGAAGAACCTCGGTAGAAAGGTAGATGCTCACACTTTTCTTATCTCCCTGTCCCTTCTTCCGTTCCTTGTTTGCCATGATCACCCCAGTGCGCAGGGTTTCAAACACGGGGTCATTGTGGCTGGCAGGAGCTAGTGGGAATGGGAGAAGAAAGAACACGTTACTGGGGATGGCAGTGGAGGTCGGGGAAGACAATACAGGGGAGGCAGATAAAGCTTGGAGGGAAGACTCCCACTAGGATGTAGTGGACAGACACCTAGGGGATGTGTGTGCGTGTGCGTGTGTGTGTATAATGGTCAGTGTGTGAACATGTGTAAGGGTTAGTGTGTGTAAGGGTCAGTGTATGAGGGTCTGTGTGTGTGTAAGGGTCAGTGTGTGTAAGGGTCAGTGTATGAGGGTCTGTGTGTGTATGTGTGTGTGTGTATGGGTCACTTCATGAATACAAAAGTCAGTGTGTAAACATGTGTAAGGGTCAGTGTGTGTAAGGGTCAGCAGTGTACGAATGTAACTGTCAGTGTGTTTGTGGGGGGGAGGCCGTGCGGTGGCTGAACTTATATGAGTTCTATAAACAATGGAAATGTAATGTGATGGAGAAAGGTGTTTGGCCAGTGGTACTTCTGAGCACAGAGTGTTCTAGGCAGCTGGAAAGACAACTTTGCTAGAAAGACAGAATTGTTGAGCAGTTGGGGAATGCTCAGAGTTGTTTAAATCCCAAGAAGAGTGTTTTGTTCTTTTTTGGGGGGCGTGGGGTGGGGGAGGATTTTGGGCCACACTTAAGTGATGCTCAGGGGTTACCTTGGCTCTGAACGCAGGGACCATTCATGACAGTGCTCGGGGGACCTTATGGGAACCTATGAATTGAAACTTGGTTGGCCATGTGTAAGCAAGCACCCTCCCCGCTGTGCTACTGTTCTGTCCCCTGGAGAGGAAGGTGTTTTTTACTGATCACTTTTGTTCTGCTGAGTTCCATACATGAGCTGGGGTTTTACTACGAGTGGGTTTTTCCTTTTCTCTCTATATTCCCCTCAATGTTCAGTCTCTCCAATAAACTGAGCAGATTGTCAATAAGAGTGTTTGGGGGCTGGAGTGATAGAACAGCGGATGGGACATTTGCCTTGCACGTGGCCGACCTGGGTTCGATTCCCAGCATCCCATATGGTCCCCTGAGCACCACCAGGAGTGATTCCTGAGTGCACGAGCCAGGAGTAACTCCTGTGTAATGCCAGGTATGACCCAAAAAGAAAAAAAAGGAATGTATTTCGGGTCTCCCAAGCAGTGGTCAGGAGACCTAGGACCCCCATCTGGTGATTGTGCCAGCCAGGCTCAAAGTTCAGTGTGAAGCACTGAGGATAGAGTGCTGCTTGTTCCTGTGGTGTTGGGGATTACCCAGGTGACCCAAGCAATCCTCGGGAGCCTCCAGGCTGTACCGTGCCATGCTTGGGGGACCATGTGGTGTCAGAGATCGAACCAAGGTTGGTCATGTGCGAGGCAAGCATCTTGAGCCCCGTACTAGTTCTTCTTGACCCATATGTACTAATGAGAAGTTTTCGGGGTTGCCAGATCATGAATGTGCCCATGATACACACAGCTCTTGGTGTAGTCCTGCGTCTGACATTATTCTACAAGGTTGAGAACAGCCTAGAATCTTTGTTCTTCCCTAAAGGTAGTTTTGTGCATGAAGAGCACAGACTTTGAAGTTAGGAGAGTCTTGCCTATCTGAGCTAGCTTTCTGGAGGGCTAGTTAATCTTATATCCCTCTGAGGCGGAAGCGATAGCACAGCAAGTACAATGTTTACCTTGCATGCAGCTGGCCCAGGTTCTATCCCTGGCAATCCATATGGTCCCCTGAGCACTGCTAGGAGTAATTCCTGAGTGCAGAGTCAGGAATAACCCCTGAGAACCGCTGGCTGTGATTCCAATAGCCCCCTATCAAAAAAACAATCCTATCCCCCTCAGCTGCCAAACGGGAACAACTGCATCCAAGACAGTTAAAATAGGGAGAGAGAAGGATCAGGAATAGAACTGTTTTCTGAATCAGAATTTGGTTTTCAGGGGCCAGGAGACAGCTCAAGGGACAGAGCACACGGTTTGCATGCAGGAGGCCCCAGTTCAATCCCCAGCACCACACGGTCCCCTGAACACTGCCAGGTATGACCCTCCCCGAGCACACATCTAGGAATAACTCTTGAGCCCCACAGAATGCAGTCCAGAAACAAAAACAAAACAAAACAACAGCATTTGGTTTGCAATTCTAGAGGTGGTGTTGAAATAATTGATTCCCCCCAGTCCCAGCTGAGGCACTTACAGACACAAGCGTACTGCTGGTTGCTGTAGAGAGGGGAGCTATAGGCCCGGCGGAAACCAGGGGGCTGTCGGATGGGAGGAAGCATTAGAGATGGCAAAGGAGGGCCCAGTACCCCATCTCTCCCACGAGCACTCACACACCCTTAGAATAAGAGATGGGCTGAGGACACAGAAGCAGGGGCCCGGGTGGGATGGCCGGAGGCCAGCCTGCAAGTACCCTCCCCGGTCTCTTCATTCCCAGTGCCAACTCACGATTTTGCCGAAGCATCTCTGCATTTCCACATAGGACTGACAGTGCTCATGGATGTTAGTTTTGCAGTTCTTACAGCGAAGGCCAAATTTGTTGTTGACTTGGAAGAGGGGGAGAACATTCGGTTGAGATTCCGGATTCCCCTTACCCTGCACCGCTGCTTCTACTCTGGTTCTTAGATCACTTTTTGTCTGGGACTTGACACACTCTTAGCAGTATTTTCTTAAAGCCAGTAATTTTCCTGTGCCAGGGATCAAACCCAGGGCCTCACATATGCAAGGCACGTTCCCTACTGCTGAGCTATATGCCCGGTCCCTTGCTTGGTTGATCTGGCTGCTGTATCCATACACATCTCCCCAGTCCGTCCCCCACCCCTGCCTTCAGTGTCACTCTCTTTCCACTTCCCTTCCTTCAGAACTCACGGACAATCATCCGGGCACAGACATCACAGAACTTGGGCTTCTTGAAGAAATGGTCTTTGAATTTGTGGGGCTTATCATTGACAAGTTTAGGAGGTTCTGGGGGTGGTTCCTCCTCCTCCTCCTCTTCTTCTTCCTCCTCCTCATAGATGTAGTAGATGGGCCCACCCCCAGCTCCCACTGCCTCCCCATTGGCCTGGGGCTCTTCGGGGAGCTCCATCTCTTTTGTCCCTGTAGACTCTTTCCTGAATAACTGCTTCAGCCGCTGTAGCTGAGGGAGGGAGGGAGTGAAGGAAACCCAAGGTTAAAAGAACTCAGGAGCAGGAGAGGTGAAAGCTAACCGGATATTTTTCAAGCCTGGGACGATGAACACACCCCAGGCTTAGGGTTATTGGGGATTCTAGGGGCTGGCTAGCACCCTATCAATAAGAGAGTCATAGACAAGTGAGATTAATCCAAGCACTTTTCTGAAAGGGCTGCAATGGCTTCCCAGATCCCCACTCCCGGTGGTTGAAGTCCAGACTCACCCCACTTTGCCGAGTCTCTGCTGAGAAGGAGGGCTTAGGGGACTCCAGCACCTCCTTTTCTGTCATCCTGCAAGAGGACGGACCCCACTATGAAATCTAGCCCCTGAATGCCATTCTGCCCTCCCTATTCCTATCCTGAAGCAGGGTGGTCCTTGAAGGGGAGGCTTTGGGAGAAATGGGCCTAAACGGTCTTATGAAAAGAAAGAGTTCGTGGAAGTCCAGAGAAAAGCCCACAAGACTACTGAAAGACCCAACCTGTGTCTCAAGCCCACCCTGATCCTTTCACCCGAAGAAGTACCCCCAGAGATAGTTCCCCAACTCAAGGCTTTGGGGTGTTTATAAAGACTGTTTATATATAGGGGAGTTTGGCAAACTCCCCGTGGCATACCCAATATGCCAAATACCAGTAACAATGATGGGTCTCATTCTCCTAACTCTGAAAGAGCCTTGAATATGGCACTTTTTGAAAAATCTCAGGGCTAGGCCAAAGGAGACGTTACTGGGGCCTGCTCGAGGCAATCGACGAATAACAGGATGGTCATGATCGTGATATATAGGGGCTGTTTCGAGTGGGCCTCGTGGGCCAGAGGGCCAGGGGCACTGTTTGGGGGCTTTCGTGTGCGAGCAAGCATGCACAGAGAGAAGTGGAGTTCCCTGGTTTCACCCACCACTCTCAGAGCCCAGGGGCCCAGGACCTAGTCCCTGACTCTCAGGCCTCAGCTATTTTTAAGTTTTCACAGTAATACGAGCCTTTCCTTTCCTTACTACTGCATTCCCGACCCCACCCTCCTACCCTCCAATCTGAGCTCTTATCCCAAAGGAGAAGAATTTTCCTCCTAAAACCCAAACTATTCCCAGACAAGGAGAAATATGAGAAAAGCTGAATAGACCAGAATTGGGGGAGCTGGGGAGAGAAGCCCTGGGAATGGGGGAGAGGACAACAGGGAAACTTACGTTTGGGATCCCCTAAGCCACAGCTCACAGCCTGTGGCGGGGGAGGAAGCCCCAGGGTCTTGAGGTGTGCTGAAGAACCGGTTCCCTTTCTTGGGAGCAAAGACCCCCGACCCGCTTCCTCTGGGCTCACACTGACTACCCAGACGGTTTGTGTAGATCTCCTAGCCTTTTGCCTGGGTGTCAGAGCCGCTATGACAGGGCTGGAGGAAAGGAGACAGCTGACACACAGCTGACACAGAGAAATTGGACACGGGAGGGCTGGCAAGTTTGGACCCTAACTCCACCCCGTCTCCAGAGCTGTGGCAGCCTGGTCTGTCATCTCTGGGGTGCAGGTCAGTACAGCCTAACTCGGGGCATGTTGTCTGAATGCTGTTTCTGGCTACTCATTCACCTGGGCGACGGTGATGACTGAAGACAGAGAAAATTCGAAATGATCTTCCCCTGTTCCTGTTCCCCAAACAACTTCAGATTCTCCCCTCCCTGGCCTAATTCTGGAACACCCACTTTTTTTTTTTTTGCTTTTTGGGTCACACCTGGCGATGCTCAGGGGTTACTCCTGGCTCTGCACTCAGGACTCACTCCTGGTGGTACTCGGGGGACCATATGGGATGCTGGGAATCAAACCCGGGTCGGCTGCTTGCAAGGCAAACACCCTACCTGCTGTGCTATCGCTCCAGCCCCAGGAAGACCCACTTCTTATAGCCATGTACTTCTAAGCTTTCAATTGGAGACCTTAGCCTCAAACCTTTAGGAAAGGAAAGGACTGGAAACTAGTGGAGAAAGAAAAAAAATATGAATTCTCACAGCTCAAGTCAGCCAAACAAGACTGTGATGCCAGGGATGGAATCCAGCCCTCCCACCAGGAGCACCATATTGGTCCTGGGTTGAACATTTAAAATTTTTTTTGGCTTTCAGGCCACACTTGGCAGTGCTCAGGGCTTGCTCCTACCTCTGTACTCAGGGATTAATCCTGATGGTGCTTGGGGGTCCATCTGCAGTACTGAGGATTAAACCTGGGTCATGTGTGTGCAAGACAAGCACCTTCCTCCGCCCCTTAACATCTCTCTGGCCCCCTTCTTTCTGTGGGTGGCTAAAGGGCCACCTTGCTGCCATCTTAGGGGATGCAGACTTGAAGACAAAATGGGCTGCTTTGTTGCCTCCAGTCATTCCCACAGACATCTGTCCTTTATTTCTCTGAACTCTTGTCCTCAGGAGTGAAGGGAATTATGAAAACTACTAAAAAAGAGTCTAGGACTTCCCACTGAGAGGTTTTGGGAAGATCAGGTAAAGATGGTCTTGTTAAAAAAAAAAGATGGTCTTAACACTGGACAGAAGGCAACAGCTGCCACACAAGGGGATCTTATTGTCTGTGAATAATGACATGGCCCCTGTCCCAGGAGAACTGCAAACTCCAGGATGTAGAATGGGCAAGACTCACACTCCATTTCTTGTGGGGGAAAGGGCTTGGGCCACACCTGAAGTACTCAGAGGACCATGTGGTACTGGGGACTAAAAGTCCCTTGACCCAGTACTATCTGGCTGACTTCTGAGCCACCTTGATTCTTTGGTTCCATGTCCCTCCTCTGCTGCCCAGTCTGTGAACACGATTAATGATAATTGCCAGTCTTCTTCCTTTGAAATGGTGTGTGTGTGTGTGTGGGGGGCACATCTGCTTGCTTCTGGTTCTGCATTTAGGGAATCACTCCTGGGGGAATTCTGGCTACCATATGGGGTGCTGGGGATTGCACCCAGGTTGGCCACATACACGGCAAGCACCCTGTCTGCTGTCCTAGCTCTCTGGCTCGGGAAGCCTGCCATTCTTTTTTTTTTTCCTTTTTGGGTCATACCCAGAGATGCAAAGGGGTTACTCCTGGCTCTGCATTCAGGAATTACTCCTGGAAGGTTAGGGTGACCATATGGGATAGCTGGGGATTGAACCTGGGTCGGCCAAGTGTAAGGCAAATGCCCTACTCACTGTGCTATTGCTCCAGCCCCAAGCCTGCCATCCTCATCTCAGGGACATGCAGTGTTCTGCTTTGGGCTAGCTATGGCAGGGCTGAAAAGGGAGGTGCACTTATTTTAGCACTGCACTGTAGCACTGTCCTCCCGTTGTTCATCAATTTGCTTGAGCAGGCACCAGTAACGTCTCCATTTTGAGACTTGTTACTGTTTCTGGCACATCGAATACGCCATGGGGAGCTTCCCAGGCTCTGCCGTGTGAGTGGGATACTCTCGGTAGCTTGCTGTGCTCTCTGAGAGGGATGGAGGAATTGAACGCGGGTAGGCTGCGTGCAAGGCAAATGCCCCACCTGCTGGGCTATCACTCCTTCACTCTTGTCTTAGAGGAGAGAGATTTGGAGGTGGTTTGTAATGATGCTTAATCCCTTGTATCTATAAGGGATTATGCAATGGAGGTTGGGTCAAAGATGGCTAGAGATACCTGGAGCCAAGAAATTCCCAGAGCATGGGCAGGAGAAAGTGAAGAGATAGGGCTTGATATCTGGCAAACATATGATCCCCTGAAGCCCATCAGGTGTGTAGAGCCAGGAGTAATCCCTGAATGCTGCCAGATGTGGACCAAAAAAAAAAAAATCCAAAGAAGAGTAAAGTAAAGTAAAGTAAAGGCCCTCCCGTTGATCGTCGATTTGCTCGAGCGGGCCCAGTAACGTCTCCATTGGAGACTTTGTTGTTACTGTGTTTGGCATATCGAATACTCTCAGTAGCTTGCTGGGCTCTCCGAGAGGGGCAGAGGAATCGAACTCGGGTCGGCCATGTTGGCCGCTTGTAAGGCGAACGCCCTACCTCTGTGGTATCGCTCCAGCCCAAAGAAGAGGAAAAAAATAAATTCTCAGGGCAATGTGCTTAGTCATTTCTACCCACTACTTTATTCTAAGGAACGGCTCCTGGTTGATTCTGGATCCAAGGGTCTTATTTTTTGTTCAGGGGTTCCTCCTAGCTCTGCACTCAGGAATTACTCCTGGCTATGCTTTGGGGAACCATATGGGATGCTGGGAATCGAACCTGGGTCGGCCTTGTGCAAGGCAAACACCTACCTGCTGTAATATGGCATCAGCCCCCAACGGTCTTTAATGGTCTTTCCCAGCTTCAGAACAACAGAGCTAGCTAGAAGTCCGAGAGAGAAAAAGCTATACCCTGGGGTAGCTGATTTCTGGTTTTTACTTTTCTTCAGTTGCAAAAAACAGGCTGTGAGAACTCTTGGATAATATGCCATCTCGGCACTGCAAGTTCAACTGGGGTAGCTTTTATTGCATGAAACACCACCCACTCTTCTGTTCTTGCCAGGCAGGACTCAATCCTTTGGCTTTAGGGTTAAAGGCCCAAGTCCTCTATTCCTGAAGAATTTTCAGAGGTGAGATGGGCAGGTATGAAACCAGCAACTCAGCCCAACTCCAGACCTTATGTACCCCTCCTCAGCTCAGCTCTGAGGACCCAGGTTAACAGTAAAGCATCAGCAGAGTGGAAGGAGCCTGAGATGCAGGAATAGAGCTGACAGATGGGCTTCATGAACCAGGCAGAGGTGGAGTTGGGAGAGCCCAGAACTAAGGTCTCATTAGGGGCCGAAGACTAATCAGTTACCAGAACCTGTGCAGGGCAGTGCCTGGGACGCAGGGGGTTCTACAGGCCCGTGCGGATAAGCACCCCCAGCCTTCATGGTCCCTGCTGCTGCGGGGCTGCACCACCTAGGACTACCAGATCCCACAGCAGGGCGACAACAGAGAAACAGGGACCCGTGTCCAGTGGCAGAATTTTTCTTCGTTTTTTTATATTTAAAAACAAAATTAACCTCCCCCAACAGCCCCCCAACAAACAAAAAAATCAGATTAAATAAAATTTACAGTGAATATACCCAGCAAACATCTTTATGTGCAATTAAATACTGTGTCGGTTACTGCGGCACAAACCTCAAACAAACAATATACAAGTGTTCTGGGGGGCGGGGGGAGGCCCAAGTTTGAACTCTGTGAGGCTTGGGGAGACGAGATGGGGGAAATGCGAGAAAAGGGAAATCAATTGTTTTTTCTTAATTCTGTCCATATAAATATATTCATAAAGACCAAGAAAGAAAAGGGAATTTGGGATGAGAAGGAAACAGGAGAATAGG